CCTAGGCAGATTGAGATGCCAGCTTGAAAAAACAACCCTCACTGAAAAGAGTTATTTTGTGTCATTTCAAATAAACAGCTTCTTTAAAAAGATAGCTTGCCAGGCAAGGTAACATACGCCCACTACCAGCTGTCAGAAATGATAACAAAATCTGTAGTGGTTTAATATGACTTGTGAAACCAATCATCCAATTTTTACTAATATCAAGCTTTACTGAGATCTCATACCAAGTTTCATCAAGATCGTATAATGTAGTCTCTATCAGGCCTACAAGCCAAATTAGATGCATTGAATTAATTCAACTTGACTGAGATCTTGTCCATATATACATACATACCAATAACTCTTATTACCAATTTCGAACTTGACCGAGATCTCATCAATATATACATGCATACCAAGTTTCATTAAGATCAGATAAAAACTGTAGCCTTTATCGTGCATACAACAAACGTGGAAGGACGGACGGACAGACAGGGGCGACGGCAATATACGTCCACATTTCCATTTTTTTTTATTCATTTATTTATTTTTATTTATTTTCCACATAACAATATGTATATATTTGCAGAATCAGAATGGTGAATAATCAAAGATTTTCAGGCCAAATCATATTAATCTTATTACTCGTGTGAAGCTTTAAAGGGCCAAGGAGATGTTAGGATACTGTTTTCAGCTTTTTAAACATGATTTTTTATCAGTGAGAAAGTTCTGCTTACTAACAGAGAGATCTTCAAAGTCTTAGATATTTACCTGATAGATTGTTTGGAACTTGCCCCTCTTTAGATATATTAGCAGTAGGTAGATTCATAGCTCTAGGATTACTGACTGTAAAATCCATGTTATAAAACATCTGAAATAATACAATTATACCCCATTTATAATCTTATACATAATAAGATATCATTTGTATTCATTGAATCTTATACCAAACAGTCTGTACTGATGTACAAATTATAAATTACAATTTATCATTAGGATAAGTACACCAATTGGAAGGGATTAGCCTCTTTAAGAAAAGGATATTGCATACAGATGTTTCTTTAGAACATATACAATTACATTGTAAAGCTTAAATGTGACTCATTTTTTATTTACTGTTGTATACTTTTTGTCATCATAAAAGATTTGGAAAAATACAAAAATTGGAAAAGAAGATTTGTTTTAATAAGCAGTTCATTTTTCACCAAACTGTTTAAAATCAATGCTGTTCAGATTGAGGTATTTAAGACATTTTATTATATTAATTGCCTTAAATTTGATTTAGAAAGCTTGTCGCACAATGAAAAGGCAAAACTATATAATCAAATTTTTATTCCAAACCATATTTTAACAAAATAAAACTACTCTCAAATTAGATACAAGATAGAAACCAATAATTTGATACTTACAGCTGGACTTTCCCTCAAGTTTTGCCAAGTAAAGTATATTTCATCCACTTCAGCAGAGATAGGTAAGTTAAAGGACAAGGCGTAATTATTGATGATACCATTTCTAACATAATATAACTCAGCTGTTATACCTACAATTATAAAATATTTTGGGTTTTTAGACCAAGCCATTGGGTAACCACTTCGTATCAAAGCTGGCTTACTTTAGTTTTCTTGCATGTCAGCTAACAGGAAGCATGACATTAACTTGTCAACCTACAAATTAGCTACCATGCCAATTGTTTTGGTTTACACTTTTTCTAACTTTTCTTCAATAAAAGATGTCATGTTCTCTGATTCAAAAGTGATACTAAATGCTATGTCCCAAAATATAGGACTAAATCTCTTTGTGTCCAAGAATGTCAACATAACTATATGAAGCCAATATCTGTATCTTTATTATTGCAATCATTTTTTAAATATCAGGAATAAATTAGAGGGTGAAGTTTTATTATCCACGTTCTATTTCTAAACCCTAGTGGGTATCTATAACAACTCCATTGCTTTTGAGAAGTATATTTCAAACATATATAAAACCAACCAATCTACAAATGTGTAATGTAATGGATAAATGTTACAAAATTAGACCCATTAAAATTCCATCTACAGATTGAGATAAGCTGTAATTCAATTGAAACTACTGCTATTTAATATTAATGCAATCTTTGTTACTTGATTTCCTATTTCAAATCTCTTTGAAGATGAGAAATGCAAATATTATGATGGTGTTTTTATAGTTTGTTTATCCAGATTGTGTAAGATATAGATGTAATAGTTTAAAGTAGTTAGTTATATTGGGTATTCTATAACATTACCATACTTTCTTTAATATACTCTAGTATATACTCTAGTATAAGAAAGCATTTATGTTTTCAGTAGAAACTTGGCTCTTGGTTTTGTCCTTTCCAGACATTTTGAGGTGATTCAAAATAGCTGTTAATATAAGAATCTTTTAATTCATAATCGTTCTATTTGTAAGCATTATGGTGTAGTTATCGTAGTTTTCTATGAAAGTTATTTCATATATAATATGAATACATGAATTTTGAAATTAAAGCTTGGATCACATTGACCAATTTGTGGCAGAACGCTCTTAAATATTGATTGACCTTAATCAAGACACACTTGCCAACAAGGTCTTAAGGTACTTTCATCAAACATTTTCTGATAACTCCCAATTTTGTCATTAGGCTGTCTACTAAAAAAAATTGACCAGAGTGCACTGGGATTGCTATGGGCAACAAAAATATTAACCATTACCAAACTTGGCAGAATTCTGCTCATCCTCTGCTCTAGAGAGGTGAACAGGGATGATATTATTAAGATATATACTGTATTTAACTGTAATGTATAATAAATTGTTAAAATCATTCTAGTTTTATAACAGGAAGATTGGCACAACTATGTCTGTTAAATCTATTCAACGTAAAAACAAGTTTAAAACTTGTGTAAATGTTGCCAAAATAACTGTAAAATTATAGCAAACTTTTACAACACCTGGTTGAAGCTAGCCAATGAAACAGCAAGGTAAGGAAGAATCTGTCAGCGGATGAATTATCAATCAAAACAGAGACTGGTTGATTGAAGAATGGAATATAACAGATGAATTGAGAAGAAAGGTGATTTACAAACATTTGTTTCACCTGTATAATCAATTTACCTTGACTTTAACACAGTTTAAAATAGAAACATTGAGTCTTTAATACTATAACTTGAAGTTGAGGTACAGAGGTAAATTTAATAGAGACTGTTCAATATTCAGCTGTCTCAAATCCATTATCAAAAAACAGATATCTCTGGAATAATTTTTTTTAACCATATATGTATAAGCTGCTAAGTTTAAAGACTTGATTAATATGCACTGTGAAAGTGTCTTTACTGATCACATGTTCACCCTTCATATTGCAACTTGGTTTGTCAATTCAGCATGCCTTCAGGAAGTTCATCATTGCTAGAACTGTTAGAACTGTTATCATGCTATCTATTTGCACGTTACCATTTGATATCTTGTCATTTTTTAAAGGGAACCCAGTCACTGCATAAGTTAAGAGAAATATACAAATATTGTAGAAAAATATGATACTTTTTTTTTATTTATGACTGAGATTCAAAATTATCCTTTTAGGTCTTACTTTATCATCAAAATAAATGGCTTGTCATTTTCCACAAGAACCATGTAAGTTGTTTAACAAGACAGCTTGATATTTATATAATTAATAATGTAATAATGTTATATCATATAATATAATAATGCAATTATCATAATGAGGATATTAATTATGTTATTAGGAAACATTTATCACTTTATTACTTTCACAACACATTGAAACTAGAGTGTTGTTGACTTCCAAAGACTTTATCTTGCACATTATAATCCTTTACTTCATTAACACAGCCAGTGCCTATATGAGACATTGTTCAAGAAAATATGAAAATCTCTGCAGTGTCTGCATAGATTACAAAATATTGATATGACTGTATAACGAATTTATATGTAGCCAGAAATGAATTTGAATCTTCTATTTTGCTTTATCTTACAACCAAAGCAAAGCAAAGCACATTATTAGATTGTGATTCTTAAAACTGATAAAGAGGCGAAGATTGGTCGAACAAATCATTGGTGATCCAAAGTAATGATGTATCATAAATTACAATAAAACCAAACTAAAGAGGCAAATGAGGAAATTCAAAAGACAAGAACGCCCTGCAATGAAACACAAACATGAACCAATCTATAATGATGTAAGGAACAAAGTTGAGTTGTAAAACGTATCAATGATATCAACACCAATATAGAAAAGTTCAGTATCTAAACTTGAAGCTGAAGTTTCAATTTTACAATTTGTTATAAAATTCTGTTGATGTGTGAACAAGATTGAAGCAGACTAATAACATTATGCACATTAACGCAGCAGATTCATGAATAATTTTGGCAGGTTTAATTTTGAGAAATTTATGAGTAATAAATTAGTCATGTTTATAAACATTTTATCGCCTGAATTAAAATGAATGGTAAAATAATTACTTGGATGTCAAGGGAACGTCAAACTATAGAAGTAATATCAGTTCATATATCACAGTATTAAGTAATATAACAGGTATATAAGGCTTACGTTACATACATGTCTTAAAGCTGTAATTAGCATCTTTCAAAACATACTGGCAAAAATATTTTACCATTAATTTCAAATTTAAAGGTCTTTCAGTAAACTTACAGATATGTCATGAAAAAAGCAGGAGAACTTACAAACTGTCAGATAAGCCTACTTAAGTTTTGAATTTGAATACTTTTTGTGTGGTCATAAAAATCAGTAATTTTCTTTCATATTAGGAATGAAAAAGTTGACATAAGCTATATTTTTATTAGCTAGGAAACGTAAGATATTTCAGAAAGTGTAAGTTCATATTTCTTTAATTGCACTCAATAAGGTGCAGAACAGCATGACATTAAATTCTTATCATGACGCTTTCAATCATCATCAGGATGAGTTCATTCAGTTCCAGAGTTCAGAAGACTATTTTGAAGGACATACACAGAATTCAAATTGATCATTCATAGTATATGAATATAGTAGACATGATTGAACTTGAAAATCAAAAGGATATGATTGACAAATATTTTAATTAAAGAGTTGTGAAGGAAGGTTACTGTATTAATTACAATATCAGACAGCTACTCAAAAAACTCCTCTATTCCTCCAACACGCTATGTCTCTTTGATAGTTGTCTTTTAATTATAGACCAACCTTCAACCTTGAGCCTTGATCATCCTATTGGTCATTTGAAACTATATTCCAAAGCATTCATCCAGTGTTTGTCTGAAAATCCAAGATTCAATCAGTAATCCTAAGAAGTTCTAAATCTTTTCTTTCAGTATAATAGCCCAGCAGTTTGTGGTCAAAAACATAGCAACTTTAAGATAATAGTAGGCTATACCTACAGTTCTTATTAATTCAGTGATATTATTGCAATGCTTAATATTAATCTGATATCATCCTTTACAAAACTTACTATATTCTTGACAATCAACTAACCCCTTATCATAAATACCAAAGCATTATGGAAAAAACAATGAATTTTCTGAGTAAAAATGCACTATTGCCATTCATGATAATATATAAATTAAAGTGTAAGAAATTCCAGAATAGTACTTTCATTGAGGTGTACCTATTAACACTAAAGTTAGTTTGAACATGTGTTGTATCCCCTTGTTCTCTCGGCTTGGTATCCAATGTTATAATAATATAGTTGATGTTAATATCATTACTATCATGTCTCTAGCTCTAGAACTCACACATTCTGTTATTCTAGTTCTACCATGTAAAGTTTGACACTCCAGACCCCTGGGGATATTAAACTATATTTTATCAGTTAATTTCAAGATTTTTGTACCCTCTTCCCCAGTCCTCTTTGTAAATAATTCCAGTCAAACAGTACAGTATTGTTGAATTATGATTAATTAATTTCTTAAAGGCGTTGAATATTTGAACACAGATAGATCTTGATTCTATATAGCAGGACTAATAACGGTCTATTTATTTTGTCTGTCATGATTGACTAAAGTAGGATTACCTACAAATTTACTTGTATTTAAACACATGAACAATTACAACTGATATCTGATCTAAATTTACAAAAGAGAATGTCTCATGGCTTAAGGAAGATAATTGTTGCAAAAACGGCAAACAAAATTCAAGTTTACTTCTGGTAGTACTTTCCACACCCTAATTATCTGTAGTTGAGTGTTATCAAATTCAACTATTTTAACTTTCAGGTTATGTCAACTCCCTTTAATTAAATATAAAAATAACTTAGGAGTCTGATCTTTATTTCAAACAAAGTTAGAGATAGCTGAAGTTCATCAGCTGTTTTAAGACAATAATTAGAAAGCTGTCTTTAAAAGATACTTAATGCCTGACATTTCATGGAATCAAAGGACATTATAATATATAATACAGTGGATGTTCGCATGTCTTCATCAGCATACAAGAAAAATCATGGGCATTAAATTTCAAATGAACACAAAGACAATGAATGTCAGAAAAAATGAACAAAATAAAAATTTAATAGTTATTTTTCCATTAATTCCCAATATATTGATAAAAAAAACTTATTTATTTGAAATTTGTCTAAAATTAGTCCTAGATTTCATGACAGGAATATATATATCACCAAAATTCAGGCCTGATTGGAATTGACAAGGAATGAGAAATGGAGGGAGAGAAGAAGATCAATATTTGAGTTCTAATGGAACCAGAAACTCTCATAATTGAAGGTAACTAGGTACATGTTGGTTTAATCTGATTTGGTTACTAGGCCGAAATTATCCATTTAAAATCACTCATTGGAAATTTGATTTCAGGAATTAAACATGGATATGCACTTTCTAACTTCATTAGTTTTAACGTTGGAACCAGTGGCATGTACGGCCTAATCTTATTATTCTACTTTCTAACCATGTCCAAATCTCCCTGTAAAAACTCAAACTTTTTTTTATTAAATTATGCACCAAGTAAACTGTTAAAGGGATCCTGTTTACAATTCTTCAACTATGAATTATTTCATATTACAAATTAATTAAATTCTAAATTATTTCATGACAAATCTATTAACTAGCTTCATATCATCATTTTTTTTTTTGCAGAGACCAAAATTAACTCTTGCTAAAAAATAATAGGTCCCAAAAAAATAAATAACATGAACTGCAAAATTGAAAATATTGATAATGAAGTTTTTAGACTTCTCCATCTAAAAAAGATCAAAGTCTCTTTAAATCTTTTAAATCGATTCATCTCTTGGTTTAAAAAAGAATGACATGTTCATATTGTCATTTGTTAAATCATTTTGATAATATCTTTCCTTCAAACATGCAACTGACTACCTAATCTCTTAAATACCCATCAATCAAATTGCTAAATTCAGATGTAAATTAACACACATAATCTATTTATAGATTTTCATAGAGAAGAATCGATAAATTTTAATTCCATTTCCAAATAATTGACAATCTGTTGTAGTAATCATGTTTTCTGCAACCGTTAAATTTTGCTTCCAAAACTTTGTGACAAATAAAAATTTGACAATGAGAAGCAATACCAAGATTTTTTTGTCTTCAAAATAAATTTGACAAGTTGCCATTCAGTATCTTCTCAAATGGCAAATGAAAGTTAGACTGAGAATAGAGGCATCTTTGGAGCTTAAAATGATGGACATTAGTTTTAGGCATAAAGAGTCCGTGAGATGCAAGCTCAACTATCTGGTACACATGACACCTCTCCAGACTAGACTGGGTTTGTAGGGTCAACATCCACTTCTGAGAGTCCAGATCGCAAATTTGTTTAGGTTTGTAAAATCAGTATCCCAGTATACAGACAAAAACAATGATTTCATTTTCAGACTTTGTCAATATTGCCTCCCTTTTAGAGTCCAGATGTGTATTCTTATTGATTAAATATGCTTGCATAGCATGTTAACCACTAACTTCCTGGGCAAAAGGCTATTAAAATATTCATTTTCTCAAGATTGAAATTTATTTCATAATTTTGCCATACTAACAATACAAGCATTATTCTCTATTTTCACATAATCCTCAAAATTAATTCACTGTATAGAAAGTTTGTGTAATAACATTGACCTGGTGATAAAGGTAAAGATGACTTTTTGATTTAGAAAGGGTTTAGAGCCCACCTGGTATATTAGATATTATTTTCTAAGTTATTTTGATTGACAGTTGACTAGACTGCTAGTTGATATTTTTCTGATTATAATATAAAAGATTAAGGAATAATGGGCCATTGTACAGTATACAGCCTATACTTCAATACAGAGTTTTATAACTTTCTAATAATGTGCTTGCTATAATAAACACTTATTTACAAAGTTATAAATCAGGGTGGTCTATTTGCTATACAAGTGCATGGTTCTATATTCACAAGGTTGTTTTTTCTTTTGGTTGATACATTTCATGAGCAATCCTTTGAGTCTCAAAATTTTACAAAAGTGCAAGACCTTGACCAACCTTCTTGGTAATGGCTTTTCCTAGATCAAGCAAGGATTTTTACAACGTGGTTCAGGTTTCACGTTTGCAGACGACATAAGCAACATGGTCACCTTCACTTGAAAAAGAGAAAAGATGTTTCATTCAAAGTTACCAGCCTTTAAAATGCTGAATGATAGAAGAACTCCATAAATGTTTATGCACTTCAATTGCCAATCCTACAACCAGTACATAAGGTTGATATAATACACGATATCCCCATGAACGTCACAAATCTTATTCTACACTGTCATGTATTTATCATACTTCAAAAGAGATGTTAATTATACAAGACAAAGATGAAATAAAAGACTTCACCCAGGAGCTTTTTATTATACTATACCAGACATTACAAACAGATTGTATTAAAATCTTTATCAGAATTTCTGAATTGCCACGCAGATCGTGATCATAATTCTAAAACATTTCAAAACGATTTTACTCCATTTTCCAACTAAGCACCCTTTCTGGCAGTCTAATAAGTAAATATCAGCTTTGTACTTTCAGCTTTGTACCTGAAGTTTGAGCTAAATGAGTATGCTTTTCATTAGTAAACCAGTTATCATTATTATAATAAATAATTTCACTTTTCAACTATCCAATTTCAACAAGTTTAGAAAAAATTTGGAATAAGTATTCATGATTAGGCACACATCAATAGAATAAAGAATGTAATTCTATCTATGTATCTAAATAATGTAAGTATTATAAGGACAAGGTGTTTTTTCTCTTGTCAAATTTGACAACTTAGATCTATACCCACACAATATCTAGACAAAACCTCTCTATTCTACTCCCAATCTTTAACCTTATTATTATTACATTAAGTTTTTAAAGATATCCTTATATTTAATTACACATCACTTATTTCCTTCACATATAATTCCCAAGTCCAAATATAAGTCCAATTGCATTTAAAATATGACTATACATAACACTTCAAGCAAGGAAATAAGTTGTCCTTTGCCTTAATATCAGATAAAATAACTTCAGGTTGTATTCTAGAGGAGGGTAGACTCTACTGTGATCATGTTCAACATGTACTGATGTTAATATATTAATGATAATCATTAATTATATATTGATAAAATGTAATGATGATAATATATTAATGATAATAATTAATTATATATTGATAAAATGTAATGATGATAATGACATTTTATACACAATGACATGCAATGATGATAATAACATTTTATTCACTAATGATGACATGTAATGATGATAATGACATTTTAATATGATTATTTTGATGATGACATATCAAGCACTGATGTAATGTAATGATGATATTGACATTTAACACTGACACATTGACACTCATGACATGTATTAATTATGATATGACATTTTATACACAGATGACATGCAATGATGATAATGTAATAATGATGACATGTATTAATAATGATAATGTAATAATGATAATGTAATAATGATAATGTAATAATGATGACATGTATTAATAATGATAATGTAATAATGATAATGTAATAATGATGACATGTAGTAATGATGATAATGTAATAGTGAACGAGATATAAAAGGTTATTATTTAAATGTAATGAATTATAAGAGCTTGTATTATGATTGAAGGAATGTGTCATATCAATATCTAGATAGATAGTTGATTATTTAATAAGTACTGAATGCTTCAATAACTCTATAATATATCATCTACTTCAATATCTAGACAACCA